TCATTTTGAGAAAAAATTGCTATGATTTATTCAGAAGTACTTTTCAATTGTAGTGAAATTGTGTTTGCATGTCAGTTTTGTCCCCTTTTCTGTTCAGCCTCCAACCTAGTTACCACTTTCTGCGATCTGTAAAGTAAAACGGTGACTGCAAACAGCAGATCATTCTTTATGGGGTCTGGTGCCCAAGATTTGTGGAAAGGGAGAATATTCTCTGAGATCCTCTTTAACAGGAGCTGGTTACCGCTATTATCTGATAACCTACTCACCTTCACCTCCATCTTAAATGCCCAAAAGGTATAGTGAAATACCTGTAGCTCCTAGAAAGAGAGCTGCATACCTTCACATATGCTTTTCCCCAGTGCTGGTCCTTCCTGCCACTTACTTCCTCCCCTGTGTCTGGTAGGCTTCTGCCTACTACTCCTCAAGAGTAGCATATTCACCTCCAAAAAGAAATAGTCATTTTTATTGTTTTTGTTATATGCTTATATCCATCCCATGACAATACAGTTATTTGTTTCTAAGACTGCTTGCGACCAAAGACCATATCTGACTGAATAAAATAATTCATACAATGTGGGAATTCCTATGTCCATGTGAATCACCATGAAACTCACTATGAAATGACGTGCAAGTTTTGCAAATATGGGTCTTTAGGTGTCCACTGGGATTACAGACTTTCAACAAATAGCTAAGTCACCTTTAACAAGTTTTGCACAAGCTTTCCAAGTTCCAATTTGATATCTGGTGAAAGTAGATAACACCCCCTTGATCTGAGACTTAAATGAGTTACTATGCCTTGAAGGTCTTAGCATAGAGCTTGGCATGGCACTAGCACTCAGTAAATAGTAGCTCTTATTAAGTAGAATTAACCTGAAAGACTTCCAGGAGGTGAAGAATCCTTTCTTTTTGTCTTTGCTATACTTGGAAGACCTCCTGCATCTGTTGTTTAAAGAACAGTGCCCTTAGAGAATAGCAGCTTCTCCAAAATAGAATGTGACAGTCTATTGTAAATTATGCATATGAAACATTATATTCTTTCTAATTACTTACTGAATTTTCTCTGCTGTGTTTCTTTCACTGAGGAAGACATATAAAAACTAAAGAGTTAGAGGCTTTTTAAATTAATTTTTTAATGTAAACCGATTATTTCATATAAAATAGGATCTAACAAAACACAAATTCAGAGTCTGCTAGTGTGTCATGTCTGGGGTCAAGAGTTTGTCTTGGGTTTTTTTGTGGGTTTTTTTGTTTGTTTGTTTATTCAAATAGCTGTGCTTGCTTTCTAGATTTGATCCATTAAATCAGATTTCACTCTATTTTGAGTTTCTTGATCTATTTGCCTATTTTCCACTGAGTAGCAGAATTTCTCCAGAGGCCTCTGAACATTGGCAGGGAGCAGCTGCCTTAGCAGTAAACCCCGGTTGTTGGCACTGGAAAAAACATCAATAGCAGGCAAGTTGCTGTAAGTCTCCACTGCCCGAGACTCTGAATATTTAGCAACAGCATCATGAAAAACATAACTTTAAATCTACTCTTAAGTAAATTAAAATTAATGACCCGGTTTCTTCATTTGGACTATTAATTTTCCCTTGTAGAAGGAGAATACCATGTGTTCTAGTTTATGAAAATGGAGACTCACATCTTAAAAGCAGACATATCCATAAAGTTCAAACAGTTCAATGTTTGATATGCTCAGATTGTGCTAATCAAAAAAATATTTTAAACCTCAATCATTTTGAAGGGAGAGGGGAAGGCAGGCCCACCTCTGAGAAGGGTAGAGGAGTTGACTGACTGATGGAAGGGCCACTTCTGTGCAGTGAGCACCCCGTTACTGAGCACGCCTGGCGTGACAAATGGGGAGCCAGAAGGACTCAGGTGCCTACTCTCAGAAGAGTCGAGCTCCATTCAGTACACCTCTCTGTCCCTCCTAACGAGGACTGACTTGACCATGACAGGTGGCGTGTAAATGCAGTAAAAAAATAATGTAAGCCTGGTGTCATAGAATTCAAAAATAGGAATGTTAGCTAGATCCTGGATTAGGAAAGCCTTTGAATGCAAAGGCCTGACTTAGTAGGGAAGACATTTGCAAATGGTTACCTGATGCGGGGTATTGAATCAATGGTATCAAACATTGTAAAAAGAGATTTGAGAATATGCTTACAAAAAACGTAATAGATATACTAACAAGATATACTATTTCACAAACAGATTTTGCCACATAATACCTTCTGTCATTAAATTATGCTTTTTAAATTAATAGCTACATGATTTATTGAACTATTTCTTTTGTGTAACTAAGGTGGGTAGGCATGAAGATGTAGATTTTAGAAACCTGAATGTGTTAAGAGAAAATATATAATCTAGAGGATGGACTTTTTTTTTAAAATTTTACTTTTCTAGCGGAACAAAATTAGAAGGAAGGTATAGAACAGCAGACCTTTCCTGTCTCGCCTGCTGTTCCCCTCCTCGCTGTATTTCAGTAAATCTGCCTGTTTTGCTCCCTACTCTGTCTCTGGTAAACCCTCTCAATGCCACCCTACCCCACACCAGTCCTATGCAAAAAAAAAACAAAAAAACAAAAAACCTTTGGTTATCGAGAGTACTATAAATTAAATTCAAAGTTATTCTCATTTATTGTCAACAGTTTTATTATAGATGCTTAGATTCCTTTTCTAAAGGAATAATCTGCGGCACAGAGAAATAGCACTATGAACATCAGTGAACTTCTGGGAAGTTATATTACATGGCACAAAGGAAACGTGAACATCAGGCCTTAACACGAAGCAGGTTTCTTGCACTGGTGCTGGCTCAGCGGATTCACAAAGCTGAAGCCCACTTGCAGGAAAGCCAGGGGTTATATACACTTTGAGTTTCTGCAAGGTTCAGGGTGGATTTGCTTTGGCAGCTGTACATGGTCAGATATGATGTGGCTACATACCAAGAAGTGAGTTGTATGGCTGCATACCAGGATCTGAGTAAAGGGTCAGAGGTCGGGAACCCCAGGTTAACCATCCTGTCTTATGGTTAGCATTGGTGGTGGTACATGATCTGATGTGAAGCAAGATTCATACTAGTAACTAAGTTGCATACCAGGAACTGAGCAAAAGATCATTATTCAAGACCCCCAAGCTGCTTATCTCAAGTCACTATGCTTCAGTTATCTTGGTAATGAGCAAAAACTCATAGTACAGTGAGGAGTAGCTCAGATTTAGTCTTTGAAGCAACCTTGGATATGAATCCTGACTTTTCTACTTCAAGATAGATGGATAAGCTTCATTTTAGACAGTTACAAATATTATGTTTTCATCCATCCTTTGAAGTGTTCACCTCTGTACCCATTTTCATTATAACTCTTACGACAAAAAAATGATACTTTTATCAGGTGTGTCTTCAAATGCAATATTTCAGTGACATCAAAGAAAAAGTAGATGCTAACTACAAAAGCATAAATTTCTTTTTACTTTCCCTTCTGTAGTATACTATACCATCCATTAAAAAGTAGAAATTGGGCCCTCCCTGGTGGTGCAGCGGGTTAAAGCACAGCACTAAGAAGCTAAAGCCACTTCCGCATGAGTTCGATTCCCGCCTGCCCCG